CACACACACAAAAAAAGAGAGATCAATCTAAAGTCTATCTTCTGATTATTCTAGTTTTATTTTAGTGTTGGTCTTTTAAACACAAAGTTCAATGAATCGCAGCTGTGTATAAAGCTCTAAAATGCTTCTTACATTAATGTTCACTTGTTTTATTTCTTTCCTAGGTCATTTTCGTGAATTTTACTAAGTATCTTTACTACATCTCTATTTAAACAAGAGTCATGATTGCAAAGCAAAACAGTATATCTTTGTTTTTAATAATGATTTAAAATAGTAAAAGCTGAGTTGTATAACTGAGCTATTTACTTAAAAATTAACTATGGGCTTTAAGCAGCTCATGGACATCAGCCTGAGCTTTTTCTTTATACATATTTTCACATATATTCAGTCTTTGAGATATTCACACTTTTTATTGCCATAGCAAACTGAAGTAGGCCCCTATTGGATTCTTGATTGAGATTATAACTTTTACTTTTTATAAGACAGAACAAGGAGGGAGTTATGGTGGCCTAGTGGCAAGAAGCTGCACTGCAATCCCAAATCTACATGGTTCGAAACTACCAGATGTTCTTCAGGAGAAGGAGGGACATTCTCCTTCTGTACCAGTCAGATATGATTTGAGGGTGCGCGCGCCCGCACACACACACACACACATAGCTGAGGTTTTAGAGGTTAGCTTTTGATTGCCATCAAAGTTAAATATTATGTTGTAAATATAAAGTTTTAATAGTTGTTAAATTAATAAATTTAATAGTTGTTAATATTGTTAAATAGGTGTTAAACATGCGACTCTCCTTTGATAATTTTAACTAGTACAAATTCTATAAAAACTACCGCAAATTTAAGAAGTTAATTCTGTTCCACTTGTGATTGATGCTCCTGTGATATGGCCTGGAGTCAAGATTTATAATTTTTGAGGTTGACTCTACTAATAATATGCTTTATTTGTAGAAACTACATTATGTTTAGAATGTTTAGATTAGTTAAGAGTATGCTTTGATGATTATACTTACAACATGGAACTTTGTCTTTAGTTAGCTTGCTTCTTGCCAACATTTTATACTTTGTTGTTTTTAATTGTTTTAGGCTGTTGTTCAAATGATGTGGTTGATGGATCATATTTTTAAGTACACAAACTTTGGACTTGTTTCTCTAATTCATGGAGACTTCTTTATAAGACAGGTAAGTAATGAGATTTTCTTCACTTTGAGGTGATAACTTTGTAAACATATCCTTGATTTTAAAGAGGAATGGGAAGACCAGATAAAAGAGCTAAAGGAGCTCTGGTGGCCCCATTATAAGGAGCTGCACTGCCATTCTAACAGCATGCAGTTCAGTGCCATCAGCCGCTCCATGAGAGAAAGGTGGATAATTTCCTTCCATCAGATTTACTGCTTCTGAAAACCTGCTGGAGGAGCAGCAGTGAGTCAGTTCTGGCTTGTTTCAGGAAACTTTTTCTCTGAATCTTTGTTCTATAAAATATTTATTCTAATCTGAAGTTGACTATGGAAGGCTGATAATGCAAATATTTTAAACTCTACCCTTCTCCTCCACTTCTCCTCCAAGAGTGTAATTAAAAACGTTTAACAAGCATCTGTCACATATCTAATCTACTCAGCTATGTGAAATGGGCAAGTTACTCAAACTCCATTTTCTAAATAAGAATAATTAATAGTACCCTTCTCTGTAGGGATTAAATGAAGTAATAGATAAAGTACTTTTAACTACCTATTCATTTCTTCATCACTTGTATCTTGCATACTCTCTTCTTAATTTTAACTATGCAGTGTTCCCCTGCTCTGTTCACACAATAGTCTCCTGGTCCAGATGTAGATTTGGCATGAGCACAATTAAGTGCTCTGGGATTCTCATTCATCTCAAGGTCAGACACAACTTGTGATCCACAGTCAAATGCCTTTGTGTAGTCAATAAAGCACCAGACATTCTTCTGGTATTCTTTACTTTCAGTTAGGATCCATTTGACATTAGCAGTGATATTCCTAGTACTACAGCCTCTTTGCAATCCTGCTTCTGGCACTTCCCTATCTGTGTACTGTTCTAGCCATTTTTGAATGATCTTTAGCAATATTTTGCTTGCCTGTGATATTAATTATATTATTTTTTGTTTCCACATTCTATTGGATACCTTTCTTGGAAATGAGAGCAAATATGGACCTCTTCCACTTTGGCCAGACAGGCAAATTTTTTGTCCTCCAAATTTCCTGGCATAGACTAGTGAGTGCATTCAAGGCTGCATCTGTTAGTTGAAACATCAATTGGTATCTCATTGATTGTTTGGTCCTTATTTTTCACCAATACCTTCAATGCAGCTTTAACTTCCTCCATCATTATCATTGACTCCTGTACCTGAAATTTTTCAGTGTCCGTCAGTTCTTTCTGGAACAGTGATTTTGTATATTCTATCTTCTTTTGATGCTTTCTGTGTCATTCAATATATTGCCCATAACATCTTTTAGTATTGCAACTTGAAGCTTAAATTTATTTTTCAGTTCTTTCAGCTTAAATGCAGAGTGGGTTCTTCCATGTTTGTTAATACTTTTCTTTATCCTCTTGAGCTGCCCTCTGAGATCTTTTGTTAAACTCTATTAGTTTGCCATATTTCCTCTTTGTTTTGGTTTCTTGATGCTCCATTGCAATTTTTAGAGTCTCTTCTGACATCCATTTCTGTTTTTCTTCTAATGACCCTTGCTTAATGAATGGTACCTTTGATAATCATCCCACAACACATCTGGTCTTTGATCTTTGGGGTTTGTTTAGTGCCTCAAATCTATTCCTTCAAGATGATCTTGAAATTCAGATGGAATTGACTCAAGATCATATCATTTTTGTTCTTGTGAATTTATTTTAACTTTTATTTTATATTCTAGTAGATTATTGTAGAAGAATGTGATATATTTTCTAATTTCATAGTAGAAAAAAGCATCAATTCTGGGACTTTAGAGAAGATATTTGGCATAATTCTAAAGAATGTATATAGGTAGAGATGGGTAGGGAAAGGGTTCTAAGCAACAGAAATAGTTTTGGTATGAACAAGAACTATAATCTCTCTCAAGTTGGCATTACATTATAGTATTGCCCTGACAGGCTTCTATTATCACACATTTTATTTTCTATAAAAAGATGATGGCTTAAATATGTTAAACAAAGCTTTTTAGTGTGTTCTAATACATTAAAAATACACTTACTTGCTGTTATATTTACCAACTTCAACATAAATTGTAGAGTGCCTGGAATATAAGAAGCATTTAATGAGTTAATGGCTTGAGTGAAGAAGCCTTTTGTAAAGAGTGCATACTAAAATAACACTTTATTCATAATTGCTTCAGTTGAGCGAACTAGTTAAGAAAAATGCCCAACTTATCTTGCCTTTGGGATATATTTCATATGTTGAAAGCATACTATTCGAGGGAGCTTCTGTAGTTGTGTTGGCTAGAAAATTATTTGCAGCTTAATCATTCTAAAACAGAACATGTGTGAAGATACAGGTATGGCTCAGGGTTCTTCCTATCGATTTTCCTGGAGTCAGCTTTTCAGTCACGTCACCATCTTTTTTTTTATCTTCATCACAGCATTCTGTTAGCCTTACCTTCAAAGTTTTTCCCTCAGTGTAACTATTTTATCCCAACATTACAATGGAATGTCTCAAATTTTCGTGTCTGGTCTACTACAAATAGTCTCCTACCTTGAATTTAAATAAGAATGTGGTCTTTTTTTGGTCTGACCTGTCTCATGACTCCTCATCCCAAATTCCTAATCATACAGAAGGCCATTCTTACTTGCTCTTTGCCTCCTCTCCAATTTCATCTCCTATCACTCTTCTTTGCTGTGGTCTTGGCAAAATGACTTTTCTGTCTTCTATTACTTGACTGGGTGAGGATATGCAAACCAGGTGGATGAATGACTCAGGATGAGATTGGTTAATTTTGCCATACTGCTAAAGTTAAATTAAACAGTTAAAGATGGGAATTTCACTACCAGCAAGGGAAGAGAAGCAAAGACAGTGCCATGTGTCCTCTAGGGCCAGATCCCTGTGCCAGTCAGATAGGGAACAACAACCATTGTAGTTGTGAAGCAAAGCTGTTTGGGGACTGTAATGCTCACCCCCCACCCCGTGCCAGAACCAAAAGCCTTTGCCCAAGCTTGCTGGATGACTTAGAGACACCATAATTGGCTGGATGAAGAGAGCTTTGTACCACTCATCTAAGCTGTGAGGCTGAAGGTTACAGGGCCTGAAAGCACGTTTCAGAACCTCTTTGACTGAGGAAATTGTACCTTGCTTCCAACCTGCGTTGTAAACTGAATAAACCCCTAACCTTGAGTATTGTGAGGTCTGAAAAGCTATTGGTATTGATCTACTATTGGGATTTCAGACGTGGTAGTAGAGCAGAAGGATTGATGTTGGAATTTGTCGAAGTAACAACAGCAAGGTGTTGGGAGCATGGAGGACGTGTCTGACCTTACCGGAATTGGTTTGGAATTATGAATGTTGCTGATGGGGTCTGTCTCCATGATGACAGATTTGGCTGTCTCCATGATGCCTACACTCTTTTTACTATTTCCTACTATGTGTCAGCACACTGACATTTGAACCTTATTCTCATGTTAGGTCATGTTAGGTTGTACTATTCTTACAACCTGTGATAGGTCTGTTGTTTTCACTCAAACGTCACTTCTTTCAAGCAGCTCTTCCTCACCTCCTTGATTCTGTCTAGCCTCTCTTCCTCTTTTCTTCCTAACATCTATCACTCCTTATTACTGTTTTTATCACTAGAATATAAGCTCCAAGAGGACAATTAGTTGGCCCTCAGTAAATAATTATCAGCTTGACGAATGCATGAGTTCTCAGGAGGAGTCAGTTGGGGCATGCTTTTCCTGTAGGGGAGGGAACAATAAAAGGCTTACGTAAAGACTAATAACTTTTCTATTTTTTTTCTCTTGTAGAAAAGGTAATCAAGACAGGGGGAGGATCTGTTTTCTGTTTTCTGAATGATTTTTAATTTAGAACTTGCATTTAATTTTAAGGCATTTTAATTTCATAATTACCTATGCTTATTAGATGTGTGTGTACCTTCTAGGGAAAATCTCATCGTGACCAACAGCTATTGCTTCTCAAGAGGCACCTAGAAAACAATTATAGGAGCAGAGATCGAAAATGGATTGTGCTTTTTCCTGAAGGAGGCTTCCTCAGGAAGAGGCGAGAAACAAGTCAAGCATTTGCCAAGAAAAATAACTTGCCATTTCTAACACATGTCACTCTGCCAAGGATTGGGGCAACAAAAGTTATTTTAAATACACTTGTAGCACGACAAGAAAATGGAATTCCAGCATCAAGAGACACTAGAGAACAAGGTATGATGGCTTTTAGCATTTTTTCCCTTTGTAAAAATGGAAAGATTTTTCTAAAGTTCTAGATTACTTTTTTTTTATATATAATTTTGTCAAATAGATGCTTGGGGTGAAGATGATATGCGAATCATTTTTTTTTTAATTTAAAAGTAATCTGTGTTAAATGCTGTCGATTTGCCTACAGCTCATGGTGACCCTGTGTGAAGTAACTCTGAACCCTGCTCTATGTGGAGTTAATCTCACTGTCTCCAACACACCTACTCCAACACCTCAGTTACAGTGTCAGTCCTTCTTATCTAAGGTCTTCCTCTCCTGATGCTTATAGTGATTATTTATGTGATACAGAAGTATAGACAAGTATCTTTTCTCTACCCTACCTAGCTAACTGAGAAAGATCTGTATTTGTTTCCATTTCCAAGAAAGGTGATCCAACAGAATGTATAAATCATCAAACTGTATCATTTATAGTTTACACAAGTAAAATCTTGCTGAAGATTGTTGTAAAATGGCTAGAATAGTGAGTGTATCAACAGAAATGAAAGCTGGATTCAGAAGAGGTTGTGACACAAAAGATAATTGCTAATATCAGATGGATCTTGACAGAAACAAGAGAATACCAGAAAGATGCATATCTGTGTTTCATTGATTATGCAGAGACATTTGATTGTATGGCTAATAACAAATTATGGCTAATACTGAAAAGAATGGGAATTGTAGAACACAATTAATTGTGCTCATGCAAAACCTATACCTGACCAAGAAGCAGTTCCCAGGTTTAAAATCAGGAAAGGGAATAATACTGCATGGTTTAAAATCAGAAAAGTTGTGCTTCAGGGTCCTTTCCTTTCACCATGTTCAATCAGTATGCTGACCAAATAGTTTGAAAAGCTGGACTAGATGACAAAAAAAAGGAATCAAGAATGGAGAAAGACTCATCAACAATCTGTATTATGTAGATGATACAAACTTATTTTCTAAAATTGAAGAATACTTGAAGCACTTACTTGCAGAAGCTCAAAGACTTTTAGATTATATCTCAACTTTTTAGATTATATCTCAACATCTAGAAAACAAAAATCCTCACCACTGGGACCTTAAGACAACATTGTGATAAAGAAAAGATTAAAGTTGTCAACAATTTCATTTTACTTGGATCCACAACAAACACCCAGGTAAAAGCAGTCAGGAAATTAAAAGATGTCTTGCATTGGGAAAATCTGCTGTCTAGATGTACCTAATACAAGTCATGGTTTTTTCAGTTACTTCCTATGCATTTGAAAGTTGGACACTGAAAAAGTATGACAGAAGAAGAATCTATATCTTTGAGCGGTGATGTTTGAGGAAAGTCCTGCAAGTACAAGGACAAACAGGTCTATTTTGGAGTAGCTGCAGCTAGGCTGCTCATAGAAATGATGAAACTTTGTTTTATCTCACATATATTTGGCATGCTGTCAGGAAGAGCTAGTCTTTGGAAAGGGACATCATGTTGGAGAAAGTGGAAGGTCAAAGAAAGAGAGGAGGACCTCCGGGAGGACCTCCAACAAGATAGAGACAATGATTGTAAAATTGGCCTCAGGTATTTCAGAGATTGTGATAATAGTGCCAGGCTGGGCAGAGTTTAGATTTGTTGTTCATGGGGTTACTATAAATCATAGGTGACTTGATGGCACCTAACAACAACTACAATAGCCTACTTGTATGTTCCTGGCCTTTTTCATTGCTATAATAACATTATATATTGTGAACAATATCTGTAGTATAAGTCCTTAAAAATGGAATTACTTGGGTAAAGCATAGATGTATAGAATTGACTGATAAATTTTAAAAGCTAACCATATAGAAAACACGTAACATTGCTAAATGAGACTAGTGCTGTTATATCTGGAGGAACATTCTTCCACTTTGCACATCACTCTTAGTCAATGTGCTATATGAAGTAACCTGGGTTTGCTATGATGCTGAACCTTGTGCCATGGGAATATCAAATACCATAATGGTTTCCCATTGCGGACAGTGTTTGGTGGACAGATTGGGAAACAGGAGTGACATCACTTCCTAGACATCACTTTCTAAGCCACATGCCTCTGGAAACTATGAACGTAAAGAAACATGATAGCTATGGAAAGGCATTAGATCTTTTGATCATAGAGTCACTATGAGTCAATCAACAACAAACAAAAACTATAGATATGCAAGAAGAAACAAAGAGTTATTTTTAAGGAAATGTTTTTATTTTACATATGGAAAACCAGCATTGCCGTTTTGTATTTATTTAAATTTAGTATTAGAAATATTAAGAACATTGATAAATGGTTCAGTTATCTCACAACTAATATTATTTATCAAGAGAAAAGCAGCTTAACAACAGTCAACTATGATTTTGGCCACTCTCTGCACAATAGATCTACACCCTGTCTTATCCTGTCCCATCCTCACTATCTTTGATATACTTGAGCCCACTGTTAAAATCACTGTGTCAGTCCATTTCATTTAGTGTCTTCTCACCTTCTTTGACTCTCTGTTTCCAAACATAATATCCTTTTCCCAGGACTGGCCCCTCCTAACACAATGTCCCAAAGTATGTTAGATGACGTTTTAATGTCTTTACCTCCAAGAAGCACCCTGGCTGTACCTTTTCTGAGATATACTTCTTTGTCCTTTTGGCAGTCCATGGGAAATTCACTACTCTTCAACACCACAACTCAAAGGCGTCAGTAATCTTTCTGTCATCCTTATTCATTGTCCAGTTTTTAAATGCATAGCAAGTAATTGAAAAGACCATGGTTTGGATCATACACACCTTAGTTGGTTTTGGGTCCCATTTTGAGATAGCTTTAATGGCATTTCAGAATTTCTTAGTAGTTAATTTAACATCATCCTTTTTACACTGACTAAACTTATTCTTTTTTTAAATTTTATTAATTTTAATGAACATTTACAGAGATTTTCGATTTCCATTAACTCATTGTTGCACTTTTCTCCCTGCTCACCCCTCCCCACCCAGTTCACTCTTCTCTTTGAAAAGTAAAAGAAAATTCCTTCATTGGTATACTTAAAAGAGATCCTTGAGAGCAGACTTTGTTAATATAGTATGTCTTTTGACTTCCTGGCTGCTGGTGCCAAGCAAGATTAAATCATTGACCACACTGCTATCACGATGTTGCCTAACGTCCAGTGGTGAGGATTTTTGTCTTCTGGATGTGGAGATGTAACTCATATTGAACGCTGTAGTCTTTTGGTCTTCTTCAGCATGCATTTCAAATCCTCACTTTTTTTTTGGGTGGGGAGGGGATAATTTGTTTTTTATTAATTGTATCTGCAAAAGACTCAAGCAAGACCCACACCTCACTCCATACACAAAAACCAACTCAAGGTGGATCATGGACCTAGGACTAAAACCAAG